ACTCAGCATTCTCCACTCTTTGTGATGAGATTGGATATAAAAGCACTTTTCACCATTCCATACAATACAATCATTTTACATTTTATTCTTACACATTCTCTGATTATTTCAAATGAAACACACACATAAATCATCTCATGATTATCCTTAATTATTAGTTTATGCATTCTCTCATAGCATTTTAATAATTTTTCTCTCTCTCTCAACTCCTCATGCTGCTTCTTGTACACATCCTTGCTGTTCTTGTGCGAATTCTGACTGAAAAGAGACAGATTTGTTCAATAGTCTCCTGCAGCCCTTGTTCTAAGGTTTCTGATGCCAGATCATCAGAGGCTAGTTCTGCTGTTATGGTCTGTTTCCTGTGCTCCTTGGCTCTCTCCGGGATCCATTTTTACAGGCTTGCCGACAATAGATTTTATGTAACTGTTTGTCAGAGGAAGCAAACAGACAGAATGACACCACAGCCAAACAGGAATGAAAGAGCACAGCATCTACAGTAGGAGAGCCACCCATTTCCCCCTGAGTTTAATTCACCCCTTTCCATTGCTAACAGAGTTATGATACTGAGCACAAGGTGATTATAGCATTTGAACCCAAAAAGGGGCTTGAAGCTCACAGAGTTGGATTTTTTTTCTTTGTAATATCTTGGGACGAATACATTTGAGGAATACAAGGTGTCTGAGTGTCTGGCACTACAGTATATTGGATTTCTGACATTTTCTGACAAGAATAGATTACAAACTTACCATATTTCTAAAGCTCAACTCAGGCAGTAACACTGAAATAGGACACGAGTAATCCCATGACTTGTGTGTTTCTCTGTAAGGTGTCTCTGATGAAATCGATTCAGTGTTACGCTTGGACGGCAGGTTATCACACACCTTCCTGCCCCATGAATCTATTCAATCTCCCTCTCACTCATTCTCACTGTAGTGAACCCATTTCTCTGGAAGCAACTTTCCATTTCTCACCACACAACAATGAGAAAGAAATTCAAGGTTAATGTAGTTCATTTAGTTGGTAGAAGCTGCACCGAATCTTTGTACGATAGTATAATGCCTTCTGCTCTGTTTTATTTAATTTTTGCTTCTCTCCTCCACTACCCTTGCTGTGAGTGTACACACACATAATACCTTAAAAGAAGCAAGTATATAAAGGCATTAAATGATTTGCTATTCATTAGCATACACAAAGGTGTGTGCAGCCTTGCAGCTATTGCACTCGTGAAGACTGTGTGGCTGTTTTGTCTTTCTATATCAATATGTTAGTCTCTCAGTTTGGAGCCTGGCAAGGCTTTTGAAGTGTGTATTCGAACAGGTTGTCATGTGAAATACAATAGGAAATTCAAGGAGTCAGTTTTTTTGAAGATTAAAAGACTGCACATTTTAAAGAACAAAATTGTGAATGAATTGTATTAAAATAATGCAGAACAAATATTGGTCAGAACTAACATTTCTCCATATAAGCACATTTAGATTAATTCTCTGTTATGTGAAAATATGACAGAAGTCTAAAAAATAAATAAATGGGGGTACATTTAAATATCTGAGAAGCTTTTGTTTTGCCTTTTTCCTGTGAACAAAAACACACACTGAAAGACCACAGCTCCCCTTTTATTACTGTGTATAAAGTCTGCACTGTAACTGGGACAGAGAGAAATCTCCATTATTCACTGTCTCATCATCGCTGAGCCATTATGATAGCCTCATGTACTCAGCCGCACTCATCTGATTGGCACTGACACACTCTCTCTCCACCTCTTCACATTTATGCCTCTCTGCAGAGAAAAGTCTTGCCGAGCTCAACTTTCCTCTGTCTTGAGCTGCAGATTGCTAATTGGGGGTTGGAAGGTTGGCAAACTGCTTGATACTTGGGTCTATAAGGGAGTAAATGATGGAAACACTTGCAGGTTTTTACTGCCTGGTGGCTACTGCATGGACAGCTCTTTAAAATTCCTGCCTTTATAGAGAAAGTCTATCTGAGTTTACTAGTGCTGTATCTTTCTTCCAACACTGACTTTAACACATCTAGTTGAAGCTCAATCTTGGATATTTTTCACTGTTCATATGCAAATGAATTAACTGACTTTTCTGCTTTCATGTGTTCTTAGCAGCCCTCGCCTACCGACTAACCCTGCATGGTCACCCCTTTATTATCTTGACAGACAGTGATGTCAACAAGACAGGGCCATTTATTCATTTGCTATGTTAAATGAAAGTCCATATGCACATTGCTGTCCTGCTTGCACAAGTAAAGAACACTGTCAGGCTTCAGCCTCCCTGCTTGTCATCTTGGTGTCATGTCAGCCTCTTTCATCACACTGTCCATTCCTCATAGGATTAGACCATCGGAGCATGTTAAAATTAAACTTGCCCACCCTGATATAGAAACTAGACTCCTGTTTCATGTTTCCCTTAATTTAATTAAATTTCTGCTACATGACATAGATGTGGAAGACTTTTAATGCCTAAATTAAAATAAATAAAACACAAATATAAAGTGAAATACATTGCTATTGTTATTTGTATTTGCTTTTTATTTGTACATTTACATAATAAAACGAAAAACATGTTAAACAATTATTTTGCCTTTTGTCCTTAATAACTGAAGAAACTGCTTTCATATGTAGTAACTTTATGCACTGCACCATTCATCCATCCTCTAGTCTGACACATCCTTCATCCATCTACCTTGTAGACTTCTGCTAGCATTGACTCATCAGCGTCCATTAAACAAGCTAGTTACTGTAATCTAACTGTAGCCAGCTAACACTAATTAGCCCACTAATATTTACTGAGGCTTCAGCCAAGAAGCTCCCTCTGTGTGTTTGTATAGCCACCTGCAGCACAGTCCATCTCTTTAAACTTCAGTCAGTTATAATAGCAGCAGTAATAATCCGTCCTGCCCACAGGAAATTATCAGCTTGTGTCACACATGGATGTATTATAGGAACTGGATATCAGACTCAAAGATGGCTCCCACTCACTTGAATGAAAATTGCAGGGCAGGAGCATGAGCCAAAAATGTTTCCTAATTTTTAAAAGTATAAAACCTCTAATACCATGAGTGGTAAATGACAACTGTGAATAGTTTTAAAGACTTCTCTCTTTTTTTAAATTATAGTTAATATAAAACATTCTTTTTGCTTATTCCACACTATCTAGCTGGCACTGACATGACCCACAACACAGTTCTGTTGGAGATTCTGGTGTGTTATCCTTGTAGGGGTGAGCTGCTAGCCTCAAGCAGAGATGAGGAGCAGGCTACAGAATCCAGCAAGTTATATCTAACTGGAACGACAGAGTTTTATCATTTGCAAACTGCTAGACACTGACTCAAGTGACATCACTTGGCACAGCTCCCTCTGAAACCTCAACAGCTTTATACAACCATTTTCACATAAGTACTCCCCAGTACCTGTTAACAGATGTGTAAAATTTAGTTTCTCTTTAAGAAGTGTAAATACACGTTGGTTTGGAGTCAGCCCTTGCAAATTTTAACAGTAAAACCGGAATGTTTCGAGTTAGCCTCTCATATGAGATCAATTTCACAGTTTTTTTGAGAGTTCATTTGTAACTGAAAGCTTGCAGAGATCCATTCTGAGCTTCAGCATATCTGGTCCATACAGCTGCCCTGCATAGACGCCCTGTCTTAATGATAAACTCCTGCTCCACCATTTGTTAATTATCCAGGCTAGGGTTGTACCCATGTTTGTTTTAAATGCCATTTTTTTCAGTGTCAGAGCGAAGTGGCCTTAGGCTGTGAGTGTGTGTCTCTGTGTTTCTTCCACAGAAGCCAAAGATAGTTTGATAAAGAATGCCATTAAAGTGTCATTAGGCAGTGAGCTTTAAGGCACCAGGCCCCTGTAGATAAAGCATGGGGCCACTTTTAGTGCAGGGAGGTGTAGTTACAGGGTGGGGATATGCTAGACTACACAAGTCATCAACTTGATTCTCATACAGCCATTGCACTGTAGCTCTCTTATGAGCACTGTGTCCTACTGACCATGATGTCCTTGAAATCCAGTGTCTCCTGAAGTCAAAACAGTGCGATAAAAGATGTTTGTTATGTTTTCTAGAGAACTACTCACCACATGAAGTTTAAGCTTTCCCAGAAACCCCAGCTCTCCAAAGCTAAAGCAACTTTGGCACCCAACATTGTAATAGAAATCCAGCTGGCACTCAGAATGAGTAACATCAGCAATAATAACATGTAGCGCAGGTGATAACTATGGCAGCATGGGCTGGGAGACTTGACTGAGCTTGTGAGAGTGAGCTGCATGGGTGCTGAGGATAGTGTGTGAGAAAGGTGATTGCCAGAGAAGTGCAGAAAGATCCTCGTTTTTTGAAGCCTTGAAGTGAGGAGTGCAACAGATTTAAAGAGACATTAATCATTTTGTGTTAGGAGGTTCTGTCAATTACAGTCATCAGTGTTCTGCTGTTCAACAAATTAAACCTGCTGTAGCTGTTGGACTTAGAGAACAATCTAGGTCATGATTTATATTTATATATGTCACTCAGGGCAATAAATCATAAGTCTCTTAGCACTGATTAAGTATCTAAATTACACACTTGACTTTGAGCCAGACTGTTAGCTTTCTTTGCAAAACCTCTACTGCCACCAAGTGGCTTTCTGTTGACATAGCAGTACAGCATAGCTAGCCATTAGGAAAGGGTTGGGTCACAAAAGACAAACAAAAAACAAGTCCTCACCTACCTGGCTATGCAGAGTTTAGGTTTTATTAGGCCTGTCTTTCACTGTCAACAGTTTTAATTGCTCCAGTAAAATCTAATTGCACTTAAAACTGTTCACAGTTACGTTTGTGGATTAATCAAAGTGACAGGGACAGTATTTCTTTTCAGTGCCATAAGCATCACTCCACACTGGGGTACAGGCAAAAATAAAATCATCTTATATTTTGCATGAAATGATTCCTCCAGCAGCCTATATAAATATCATGCATACTGTTTGACCCGCTCTGTCTTTTCTCCTACTTGCAGTGTTCATCATGGCTGCTGGACTGCTGGTCTACCCCTTTGGCCTAAACTCGTCACTGGTCAGGTCCTTCTGTGGCAACTCTGACATTTACTATGCTGGCGACTGTCAGATTGGCTGGGGCTACATGCTGGCTATTGTTGGCGTCATGCTTACCATCTTCTTGCCCTTTTTTGCCAAATATGCACCGCAGGAGCAGCTGTCCCCCACCCCTTTACCCACATTGTTATAGTGCACTGAAATAAAGTCTTATTTTTTCCTTCCCGACCACTCTCTCTAATCTCGGCTTGATGTGACAGAGAGACACCTGCATCCTGTTTTTAAAGATGATGAGAAGCCCCACACAGTGATAACTGAAGCTGACACTCAACAACAAAGTCTTCCCGTATCTGTTACAAAATTAATTTAACTCAATTAATTTACATGGAATGTTTTGTGTTACAATAAAACTAGGTGGTTGTAGTTGTTACCTTCAATCTCTGAGGTTTCCATACAGTAGTTTAACCTGCCTGTTTTCTTCATGTCAGCTCTGGAGATGATGCAGTCAAACACAACTAATCAAATGATTTTATATGATTTAAGAAAATGGCCACAGTACTTGCTAAAGTTGTTCCCTTCCTTTGTTTTGTAGAAACAACACACAGTATGTAACATTCCAAAACAGACTGGAAGCCGCATAAAGAGAGGATGCATGCAATGATGTGGCAGTAGCCTATGACTCAACCAATCAAATAATGTTTCATTAAGAGATGCTGAACAACATAAGACTCAAAGTCAGAGAAGCTTTGAATGGTTGAACTGCATCTTGTGATGATGTATTGTGCTGAGGAATTTGAACTGTACATATGGTTTGGATTTAATAGAGCTGAAGTCTGACATTTGAAAATGACATGATTAAAGAGAACTGGTGCGCTGAATGATTTTTGCTCTTCAGACTTCTGTGTCCCATTCTTGTGAACAGGCAGTCACAGTTGTGTGCTTTTAGTAACTGTCACAAAGAAAAGGAAAATAAACAACCCACCAGATCTGCCATGGCAATAACAGGAACTCTCTTCTTAGAGTAAGGGAGTGAGTGAATCATAATAGGTGGTTTCAGAGCAGTGTTGTCAAAAGTTTTATGTTGATACCATTTTCCCTATAATTGTTTGTGAAATGTAACTTGCTTGTTGAACAAAACATTTTGTCTACAACACACAATACTAAACATTCAGGAAATAATGACTGCAAATAGCAGGGACATGTAGGAGTTGTGTTTAAAAAGGCATGACATAATGGGCTGTGTTAATGGTAGAACAGTTAGTCAAGAGTTTAAATGTGATCTGACCAACTTGTGCCTTTTAACATAACCAAGACAAGTGTTTAATACAATTATCAGGTTATCATCTTCTTCTGTGTGTTTTTTTTCTTTGATATTTTTTCCTCTTGGTGGTAGTGTGTCTCCTGTACTTCATGGAGCATGATCTCATTAACTTCAGAATATGTTGTGGAGGGGAAAAAGAAAGTAATGTACTTGTGCTCAATTATGCCACGAGACATTATTGTGAACTATAAGATTTGAATCATTTGATGAGTATATTAAAAGGTGACATGCAGCTAACATTAATTTCTGGCATCCTCGTCTTAGGTGATTTAGAATTTGCATGGTTAGGTGCGGTAGCTGTACAAACTGAGCTTCACCTTGTGTTATCTGTACTGAGCTGACAGTATTCATATCATAAGTGTGGCTGAAAATAATTAGCTCCAAAAATAAGCTCATGTGTGTTGGTGTGTTTTTGTCAACCCACTTCTCCTTTAAAGTGCTGCCACCATTCCTGTCATGTTTCAAGGTCAACACGTCTACTTTCCCACTTATTGTCCCTGTACACTGCCAAGTTCATCAAGCTGGACTCCCTTTTCTAAGTGGGTGTTTATGTGCATATTAGTGTTTAATAGAGTTAAATAATTCCAAAATTTGGGTTCCTGCAATGAGATATTCTGACATTTTGAAAATGGCTGTGATTATTTTGCCATATTTGAAAGAAGGTCAGAAGACAAATGTTGGTATTGTATTGGACCTCATACTGTGCTTGACTGGCGTGACTGCACTGGACTCAACCCCTGCATTTGTTGAACTGTTGTTTGTAAAGTCTTAGCACTGGTGAAACTGTTTTGGTAGAGTAGAATTATTGTTTCTTCCATTGTGATGTTTGACTGTAAATAAACTAACTGTACTTGGTATCATATTATCCTTAACTGCCCCATTTTTTAAAGATATATTTTGAGATATTACCTTCTCCTGTTTGATTTACCTGATAATAATGTTTGCTGTTCTGTGAACTTTCTTTGTAATAAAAATATTTCAGAACTTGCATAAAGAGAGGCTTTACTTTCCATTAAGGTTTGGTTAATTGAAACAAATCTTTATATATTTTTCTCACAAATAAATACAAAAAATGTCGACACCAGAACATGCAAGTGAATTCCACTGTTAAAGTACAAGTACATTTTTCTTGTATATGATAACCTAACGGCAGTAACTCCTTTTACAGGTCAAAAACTTTAATACTTTTAAACATGCAAAACTTGAATCTGTAGCAACAGTAATCTATGAATATAAAGGATTAAGCTTGGCTCTCACAAACACTGGTATACATTTTTCCAAATAGTCTTGTAGTGCTGAAGATACCTACTCATTCTCAGACCTCACTGAGTGATTTGACCAGCGCCCTCATTTCAGCATCACAGGCTTTGACAGCCTCCTGGGAATTCCTCAGCTCCGAGGGCAGGCCGGGCCTGACAGACACACATATCAGGACATCTCTGTTGCGGTCATAGTTACCCACACAGCGATGCACTTGACCACGGATGAGGCGGGGCAGTTCCTGCTCCTGTTGGAGGCAGATATTAAGATAGACTCAAGTAAGATTCCAGTGATGTTTTTTGTAATGGTAATCCTGTCATTGTCTGCAAAATGCCTTCGATTAGATGTTGAGTTTTTAAATTTAAACCAAGATGAATGGTGACAATAACATTTACACATACTTGCATTTATAAATACTAACAGATTTTCTTGTAGTTAATAGAAAACCAATATGCAACATAATCATCAAACTGAACATGAATAACACATTGCTTAATAAAAAACTATTGTTTTTGTCTGACTGAGCAGAATCAAAGCAAGTCAACGTGAGTAAAGTGATGCTGTCTCTGATAAACTCAGGACACATTCATTGGGATTTTCTTCTTAAATTGGGGGTGTTACTTTCTCACATTTTCATAAAAGACACACTGTACAACCGCCTTCCCATCTCTCATGAGGAAGTTCTTGGCTCCGTGGTGACCCAGTGTAACTGCAGAGTCTAGTGTAGCTGAGGCAAACATATAGTCTGTCAGATTAATGGTGTTTACAAATGACAGAGTATCAAACAAAGAGAGCAGAAGCTCCTAATCAACTAACCAAATAGCTCAAATAAGCAAGGGACTTTGTCTTTAAACTGGCTCCAGTGTCTCATGCCATCAATAACTGCAGTCAGAATCCTCAGCGAGGTCTCAGTAGCTGGCTTCATTGGAAATGCTTGCTGCTGAACACAAATACAAATGCTGCACTTAGCACTAATGTTATTATGAAAAATTAATGGCAAAAATTTCAACCTCTCTATATTATTATACTGTATTTTTCCATATATTTCTACCTGAGTTTGAGTGGATTTTTGAGTCTGAGGTTGGCTTGAGCTCCTTTTCCCCTCAAAGCCGGATCTCTGTGGCCCAAAGCTGTTAGTAAATTTCCAGGAGTTTTGTGGCTGCACTGCAAGAGCAGAAGGCCTGCTGGAAGGTGGGAGAGAAGGAGGCAGAGGTCTAGACTGCTGGAAAAACTGATGTGTGGGCTTGGGTGGTCTGTAAGATGGCTGCTGATCCATCTGAGACAACCCAGGATGAGGTCTTGGCTTGCTTTGTGCACTCTCACTAATGTGAGGAGCTTGATACTTGTACTGTGTGGAACTGACACTGGAGATGGATTCCTGTTGTCTGGCTGGGTTGCGGGGCTGTCCCATGTTAGAACTGAAATGAAAAAATTCACATCACCCTGCCTCTGAAATGCTTGCACTGGCAATATTTGAATTTCTTTATCTTTTTAAATACATTAAATACACTCTGTTCATGAATGAATCAAGTGAGAGTAAAATCATGGCTCTGACAGACACCTTTACACCATTACAGTAGCTACATTTATTTCTTGGGAATGTCAAAATGTAAAAACAGCAGTCTAATTTAAACAGTTTATGGGTCTGACTTTTAGCTTTTTTCATTGCTGATGACAAAGGGGTGAAACCTCAAACAATCACAGTAATGGAAGAAGTCAATAAACTATACCTTGTGCTTTCAACTTTGTATGGATGTGGCATGAATGCGTAGTTTCTCATTGTAGGGGTAGGTCCAGGAGCAGGCCTTGCACTTCCATACTGCTGGGGCTGAGAACCTTGTGTCTGTCTGTTCCACTGGTTTTTTGAAGCCCCAGAAGATGGACCTGAGACCTTGTAGCAACCATATACACCTGAGTAAAGGTATATTCACAGACAAAAATCTTATAGCTCCCTCCACTGTATTGAAGCTGTGAAGGATTATCCAAATTCATGAAAAGAGGATTTATGAGATTGCCATTTGTTTTATGTAAAATGGCCTAAACTGTGTGATTCAGCAGAAGATTTTTGTTTATGGAAATTTAGACATTAAAAACATTCAACAGCAAGATTTTTAAAGATTACATGCCCTTGGGTTATTTGGAGCAATTTTGTAAAAAAAAATAAATCCTACCCTGGTGTTGTTGAAGATCACTTTAAATCAATTAAAGTATATTTATATTTTTCTTTGGGTGTACTGCCACCTAGTGCCTAAAATACAGTAGAAGCTCGGTAAAGCTTGTTTCACCTGGTGTGCTATGAGATGCAGCTGAGTTGGTGCTTGCAATGTATTCAGTGTAGGAAAAGGATTCATTCTCAGAGGGAGCAGAGGTCAGAGGAACTCTGTTTCTTTTCTTCTGGTTAAAGAGTGGCACAGAGAGGCAGCCTGACAGAGACAACAGAAGAAACGGAACTGAGCATACACTATGAATTCATTAACATAGAACCATATCCATTACGTACGTTTTCCTTTTGATATGGCACAGAAAATTGAAACCATATATATA